GCAGATGTGCCTTTTGTCATTTATGAAAAGATAAATCACTTTTCTATTATAGGCTACATCAATGATATTTCAGTGGAATAAATTACTTATTGACTTATTCATACTTCAAAAACAGCATCAATAAGTGATTAACATAAGGGGGATCAAAATAAAATAAATAAATAAAATAAAAATCAACCAGCCACCCTCCTCCCCTGACAGTCCCTTCATAAGTAACGAACAGTCCCTAAAGTGCGGTGAGGTTTGTGGACCGTTACTGACACAAAGACAGAAATGTGAACGGCTCGTTTCTCCTCTGACACATCACATACCTGTGTTCGGCTGGCTCAGCTGTTCAGGTACTTCTGGGCAGTCATGACACCAAGAAGAGGATATTATTGGAACCGACTTCTCGGTCGCCCAGTAAGCCAATGGCCGCCGTAATTGACAGGAATACATTACTGTCTGTGTCTGTGACCCCCGTTCAACCCACAATCGATGGGATTCGCCTTTTGTTTCTGCTGCTGGTTGAAATCTGTAGGCTGCTCGCACAGCATGCTGAATGATTTAAGCCTATTTTGCTCGCTCAAAACTATTTTTAGTCGCAAATGCGAGTGCCGTGACGGACGGATCGCCACACTGCCGACATTTTATTCCGCCGAATACTGAATGTGTGGTTTTTTGCAATATTCGGTTACCCAATATTCGGTGCATCCCTACTTGCCAGGCAGTATCTTTTTGGCCATTGTCTTTATAACGACAAGTTCGTGGGTCATTTAGCTCAGGATATTTCCTAACCTCAACAACAAGTCTCTCCTCATCCATTCTGTCACACACAAGACACAGCAACAGCTACAAAGTTCTCTTTATACATCCATGGTGAGGCGAGGAGTCGAGCTGCCACAGAAGCAGAGATAAAGAGCTGCCACGGGAGTTGGTAAGGATCTATCGCTCTGTCTGTCCTTCGATTTTCTCAAAAACCCGCCCATCGACTTCTCACTTGGCCGATATCTTGCTGGAGACCCAAGGAAGTGTGGTGTTGAGTGCGAGCGCTTGAGATGTATGAATAATATTTATTAGCAGTGTGTTGCAACCGGCAGAAATACACACTGTAGGTGTACTAACTCTTTTAATGTTTATTTTCAATCTGCACTCAAGGCCAAAATTTAAAAAAAAATCTCAAAATATTGCAACAAAACTTTGAGGCTTGGGAGAGATGGCAATGTATTATGCAACTAAGTGCAATGGAAACAGATTCAGCAAATAAATGATGACGTACAGTTGTTGCATCGTCCACTGCAGTGTCTCTTCGATATAAATACACACACGGCTGTTAGCAGAACTCTCCCGTTGTCCAGTGTGCTCTCTGTTATTAAACATCCACAGTTTTCCCTTGTTTGATATTTGACTGGTGCTCCTTTAATTGCGTCATCTCCTTGCACAGTCGTCTTCAGCAGGCACCAGACTGGAGAATTAGCACCACCTGCTGCTTATCTCCGTGAACCAACTCCCAATATTCACACAACAGTAATGTATGGAAAAGCACATTCATTTTCTTTTGCAGAGTTTCTTAAATTAAAATTTGCACTACAATTGGATAGAGACCCGACTTGTGTAGGGTATAGGGAGGGGACCATTTTTACCTGTTAGAAAAGGGCAAAAAAGCACAAACGAATCCTTTTAAACAACTCTTTTAGTGTCAAATATGTACCAGGTCGGCCTGTCGAATATCTGAGTTCTCATGACTCCTTGACTTTTCCCCCTCGCCCACATCACAGATTACTGCTCATGCTGCCTGCTACAGTGAGTGAACAAGAAGTGATTGAATCGCAGACAGCATGGAAGCTACAGTCACTTAAAAAAACTGAATGAACCCTTCTCTTGAAGTGGGACACCACTGCCCTTCAAGACGACTATGGCAGGTGTATTTCTCAGTGTCTAATGTGGAGTTGTTTGGATGTACAGTTCTTGAGAAAGCTGCAAGCACCCACACAGGAGTCAAAGCAGTCAGTCCGTTCACAACAGGCACGTTTAAAAACAGACGCTGTGCTGTGATATCACACACTGACCCACCAGCAACTTTGGTCCTGATCTGCATGTTCTCCTGCAGGTTGGCTAAAGGCTCCAGGTACTCCTGGGCGCAGCCAGCCATGACCTCCTGCAGCTTGATGTCCACCTGGCTCAGGCGCTCCTTATACAACCTGAGGGGCAATGAAAAAGAAGAAGAAGCAAATCAGTTCATGAATTTAAACTGGCAGTTAAGTTATAACAGTGGTAATAAAAATGAAATGTGAATAAAACTCAAAGGGTCTTTAGAAAGAGCAGGTTGTGAAGAAAAGCAGAATAAAAGAGAACTGTGGAAAAAAATGTTTTCCCAACTCTTACTGGTGGGCAGTACAGAGAAACGATGAATCTCTGAGCAGGATGCTGTGGCACATCTACAGCAGGAGGCTGTTTACTGAAAGGGATGGCTCAGATTTTTTGAGGAGGGGTTGTAAAAGGTACTTATCTATAGTCAGTGTAATAGAAACATGTTGACTCATCCCCAGTTTAGAGAAGCAGCAAAACATATTGTAGTCACTTAAATACAATCAATATTAATTTAAGTGTACACCATCATGAGGACTTGTATAGCTTTACCTTTCTGCAGTTACCTATCTATGCTTTTCTCAAAGCCAGACTCCATTGACAAAAGCAGTCATTTTAGCTCACTGAACACAGGAGCTGCTGCTCTACTGCTGCCTCCATCGATAGTTTGTTTGTGTTATTGTGTGACTTTGGTGAATATAAACTAACCCTTTTAAACACCAAAGTCATACAATGACACAAATCAAGTAACCAATGGAGGCAGCAGCAGACCAGTAGCTCCTGTGCTCAGTGATGTTAAAATTACTGTTTTTCTCAATGGAGTCTGGCTTTGATGAGTGCCACATAACGGCTTCATTGTCCTGTTGGAAATCACTGTCTGACAATAGGGTAAAGCAGTGAAAATATTCTCAACATAGTGAACACTTAAAGTGATACTGTTTTTTAGGTGGCTAAAAATGTTTTGTTACTGACCCCTTCACAGCAGTGTATTACTTAGCCTCCATGTTGGACTCCAGCCTACTTCTCCAAACTGCCGACTTCTTCCTGTATTTATATCTGTGCCTGGTAGCTTTTATAATGTGTGTTATCACTCTCATTACAACATCAGACAATAAAAACAATAAAAAATAAGACCGGTAGCTTTAATTTTACTGTCTACTGACAATGTTGTTTCTCTTATCTTTCAGTGGTAGGTCGTCTTCTCTGGTGCTTTGCTGTAACTTGTTCCGTACAATAAAGCACTCCATTGTCCCACACACAGCTTTCTCCTTTTGATTGTTATCATCCCTCATGCTGGATACCAATCAGAGATTTTTCCTACACTCAAACGGCGACAAATAGGTTCCTCATGATAGTTTTTTTAAATTAAATTTACTTAAATTTCATTTTTTTAGCTACAGTTTGCCTCATTATTAGAAAATGGGTGTGCACAACATACTGATACAGTCAATTGACCTATGGCTAAGCCACGCCCCCCTCCACTCACTCGGACAACTATCAACATTCAGTGACTGGCGCTATGGCAGGTGTCACAGTACACGGCATTTCACAGGAGGCAACTGATGATTTTTGGGGACATAATGATCAGATGTCATTGAGAAGTAACCAAAAGGGCCTAAACTACGCATTGGAGGGATATATTCATCATTTTATTGTTGAGAAGGTCGATGAAAAGCTTAAATTACAAGCCAAAATTTACAGGTCACAGTGTACGCTTGTGAACCGCATCTCGTTGCCGTCACCATCAAAAGCAACAAGTTAAAGTGCCACTGAAGTTAAGGTTTTTGGCTCAGAATTTGAGTTTGAACGATGCTGCGCTTTAGCGGTTCACAATGGAGGGGGCGGGGCCGAGACGTGCAGGTGTCCCCGGTGTGTGTGGTATGGGTACCTACAGAAACAGCAAGCTCCGCGTCCATAGCGACCGCTCCACCAAAAACGCCGTCTCATCAACGTGAAAAAAAATATTTTTTTCCAGCAGATGTCTTAGTTACAACATGATTGAGCTAACTGGAGTAGTTTCATGTCGTATCCGACAACAGGAGGCTTTTAACAGATGACGTCCTGATGTTAGCTTTGCTGCTGCTGTTAGCTGTCCCTGTCAGCTGCAGCCACTGATGCTTTCTGGACATCGTGATTTCACATAACTGAATAAATACCACACATAGCAACACAAAACGGCTTTGCTAGCTCAATCATGTTGTAACTAAGATATCCGCTGGAAAAAATATTTTATTCACGGACCGTTTATTGAGTTATTACGTTACTTTTATACAGTCTATGGTTATTACAGACACCACTAACGACTAAAGATAACAGCTAACGGTTAGCACAGCTAATCTACGATAACCATGTTATTAATTACAAAAAATGCACACAGAAATAGTAATGTTTGTCCAATCATTGTTTTTATAGACTTAACAAACATCAGATTAGTCTACACGTTGATATATATAGTGATGTGAAAAATGTGATATATAGCTAAACTAAAGTTTTCTACCCGAAGTATTTGTAAACAACACGGTGATTCCCTGGGGGCACCGCTGGAAGTGAAGGGGTTGAGTGAATGCAGAGGCCCCTGCAATTCCGTTAGTCGAAAAACTCCGGGCTGTGCCTCCAGTGGTAAAGGAAGGAAATTTTTTTTATTTTGTTTTGTTTTACCGATGGATTTCCAGATTGCAGATAAGTTAATGAAGCTAAGCTCCAGAAGTTAACGTTAGCTTAACTAGAGCCCTTTGGACAACAGCTAACAATGATGTACGATCACCAAAGTACAAAACTAGAACAAAATAGGCTAATGAACTCCCAGCAAACAAGGTGACATGATGAACAATGCAGCTAGGAGCTAACATTAGGCTAACTTTAGCTAACGTTAGCTAGAGATGTTAAAGATAACTTTATATTTCTTTCCAGCAAAGTGACAATATGTTGCCTCAAACACGATGTTGACTTACCTTAGAACAGATGTAGACATCATTGTTAATCTTATTCACATTGAGTTGATGTTGTGGTCTAACGTTACCACACAACTTTATCCAAAGGAGACACTTTTCTCGGTTGAGATGTGGTTTAAAGGGTAAAAAATACACCTGGTCGCCCAGCCTCTCAGGATACCTTGTGTCAGAGTTGCATGTACCCCATGCACACCGTTTGACCATTTTTAAACTTCAAATCTCAGAAAAAGCTCATAAAACCAAACAAAACTGACTTTCTGTAATGCATTTCAATGGACGTCCAGGCAGAGAATGTCCCAGTGTATGGGAATGGCTATACGCACTGTGATTGGCTCATCTCGTTTGAGGGTGGGACTTAGCCATAGGTCAATTTAAAATTCTTTCCTAACTTTTTGTATAGGCCCAGAGGAATACTGCAATGATAATGTATGGTTATCACAATAATCCACGCCACACCATTTATATTTAACACTCTGACTATGGATAAGTGCCTCATACAACAACACTTTAAAACATCTAAACTATCCCTTTAATGCACCTGCCAGTATATCTAATGCTGTCTCAAATACACCAGCTGGATTTAACATGTTATGAGCCATTTTCTAAACAGAGTTTCAGTTTGTCAGAATTTCTGACAGGAAATATTAATCTGACCAACGTCCTGAACAGATGTCAGACTTTGGTTAAAGTTCATGATGAAGTACAGAGTTGAGTCAGAGCAGGTGGAGGACAGGTTGTGTTGGTGACGTCATGTGGATGAACTTACTGCTCCTTCAGGTCGGTGAACTGTTTCTCCAGAGTGGTCATCTCATCCAGACACTCCATCCTCCTCCTCTCACAGTCTTCATCATCCATCTCTGTCCACATAAAGACATGACAGCTCTGACTTCACCTCCACCACCACCACCATCATCATCTCCACCTCATACTGAACGTTAGTGGACATGTCAGCTCATGTTAAACACCCCCCACCCCCCACACTGACCCCCTGTGTGACAGAGGAGCGTTAAATATCTCATTAATCTGTGTGTTGATATTTAAGGCCTGTTTTTCCTACCCGAGCTGTCTCCATCTTCAGACACCGACGAGCTAACCGTGTCCTCCTCGTCTGTGCTGCTGCCGTCCTGCTCGGGAAAATCCACCTCCATTTCTTCGTGGTTACTTTCTTTCTTCTCCCGGGAGTGAACCGGCATGGCGACCGTCAGAAGAGCCGGTGTTAACGGGAGAGGAACGGCTGCTGCTCTTTTATTTTACCCCGGAGAAAGAGGCAAATGTACCTCAGACAGCTAACCGGTTAGCTAGCCCGCATCTAGACAGCTGGTAAGGCAAACATGGCCACCGCCAGCCAATCAGAGGAGACCTTACTAAGTCTGTCCAATCAGATGTTCGTATGAGTGACTAAGGCTACGCAGAGATGCTAGGGATTTGTAGTTCTTTAAACTTTTTTTTAACACCCGTACAATATTATATGATATGATATGATATTATATTATATTATATTATATTATATTATTTTATTAAAAAAAAGAGCACATATCTTCAAACACTGTTACATTCAAAATCCTGTCATAAATTTATATGTAAATGTTCATAGAATTTTTTACAGATTAACATGTTTTTTCAAACACTGTTAAAATCCTGGAATAAAACTTAGACAAAAATAGTAATTCATGCAAACTCTTCAGAATTATACCCATTTAAATTAACCTGTTGTGTATGTTGTTATTATTATTCTTTCTATTTTAATTATTTTTTTTATTTTTTATTGTTTCCAACTCTTTGTCTATATTGTACTGTATTACCTGGAGCACTATTTGTTCAGTGTTTATTTATTTATTTACTTTTGTTAACTTAGAATGAGCCGTTCATATCTACCAATAGGAGTGGGTCCTCATCTCCGGAGATTGCCATGTTTCACTGCCATGTTTCTACAGTAGCCCAGAATGGACAAACCAATGTTGGCCACCATAGTAAGCAGCCCCTCCACAATGTAAAACTACTTTTTTTCAGTATTTTTACCATTTAAAATTACTTCATCTGTTTGTTTTGGAGAAGAGACCTCTGTGGAGTTCCCAGTAAAAACCTCCTGAACGTCTGGATCTTAAGTTATCGGAGAAAAAAGGTGAGAACACAGCAGCATTGGAGAATTCAATTCAATACAACCTTATTTATCCCAAAGGAAATTCTTGTGCCAGAGAATGCTTCAAATTACAGTAACACTAAGTATAGTAACAACAATTTAACGTTCGCAACCAGTGGGTTCCAGGTCAGGGTCACTCACTGGGCCCACTTTTAAAACAACAGAGTATTAAATATCTGGCAAAATATTCAACTACACAAAATAATAAGTGTTTTCAAACAGCAAAACCACTGCCTAATAGAGTATAAAATGGTGGAAAAATAATCAATGTTGTATTGAATATGATATAAAAATGAGAAGTAGTATTGCACATGATTGAAAAAATGCACCACGCACCACATTGACGTGATCATGCTATTGAAAAGTAGTATTTCACATGATGTTGTGAATTTGCACAAGAAACACTGATTTGTAACGTGAAACTGCTCCATTTAGTGTTTTTACTGGTTTAAATCAGTTGGTCTGTTTGTTTTGGAGAGGAAGAGACCTCTGTGGATAATTCAGCTCCTGGTAAAAACCTCCTGAACAATGAACACTGAAGGAATTCTAACTGGGAGTAGTTTCAGCTGGTTGCAGTCTGCAATCCTCACCACCAGATGTCACTAAATCCCCCTAAATCTGACACACTGTTCCTACACACACAAAGTCAACCTGATTAGACGTTTGCTTAATTTATTTTATTGTATTTTTCTCAATTAGTTACAACACCTCACACAAAAATTCTGCATAGGAATAAACAAGCATTATTTAGTTTTCAAATTGAAACGCTGCAGTTCTTTTGCCTTATGAGAGATCCACTGACTTGACACACACACACACAGAGCACACACTAACAACTGTCCATCACACCACAGCTCAGCCTTCACCCACCCCTCAGTCTGTCCGTCAGTGACACCCAGGTGAGTGAGAAAAGAGTTGAGCACTAAGCTGTGACAGCTGCAGCCCCGGGGTGCTTGAATCATCTGCCAGTCAGCGAGCAGAGACTGTGTGGCACCTCTTCAACACATCCCTGCAGCTGTACAGGGTGCCTTCACTGTGAAGAGCTCCTGTCTGCTTCCAGTGCCAAAGAAAGTTCCCTGACTGACTGTGATGATGACACTGACAGCATGTGTTTGAGTCTGAACCTGCAGGACGAACATGTTCTCATCCACGAGTCAGCAGCCAACGTGTCTGATTCTTCCTCTGTGGTATGACAGACACCTTCCTCTGTGCTCGTTCCACCTCGAAATCTTCAGCTGTGTCAGTTGTAATTGTAATTTCAATTTCTTTGTGTTTTCAACTACTTGAGATGCCCCACCTCCCACTTTCTCACCAATATACCAGGTCCTTTTGTGTTTTAAATTGTGATGTCTAGACCTCTTAACCTCCCACCTGGATACAAAACCCTGCAGGATACCCCAGGTACATTCTCGGAACCTATCGGCTGTATTTGGCGTTTGACTTCCAGCAGACGGCGATACAGCCTCTGGGGGCAGACCCCCAATTTTTTGGCATTCCGGTTTGATTTGGGCGGAGGAGGCGAATTTCCGTTTCCGACTTCCGTTTATATGTAAGTAAATATGCTGAACCATTGCGATGGATTCAGAGTTTGCAGTGACGCCAATTATGTTCCGCCTCGTTAGTTCACCGCAGTGTTTAACCTGGCAACAACTGCAGCCCGCTCAAACGTGATTGGTCAATATCACGCGGACTACAAACAGCCTACAACCGGAAACCAGGGCTCTTCCGCTCTTCTTCCGGAGGCAAGATCTCCAGGGTTTGCCTACAGACGTAGAGTCTGTATATAGAGACTACCCCAGGTGTGAAACACACCCTAGGGGTCGGTGCCAATACCTGCAGCAGACAAAAGAGTGTGAAAACACTCTAGGTAGGGGTGCTGGTCCCTGCAGCAGACAAAGGGTGTGAAACACACCTTAAGAGGCGTTCCTCAGGTATAAATGTTTAGGCCTTCCCATGCTCGGGGTCTTTCTTCATTCTGACCGCTCGTGCATTGATTGACCTTTTCTTTGCAAAGAAAATAAAAACCTTGTTGGCCGGCAGAAGGCTCTATTTCATTTTTCACCAGCAGCAGAGAACTTCCTCAACACTACTGTCTCCTGTAGATTTAAATACTGCTCATACCTCACAACTTGTGCTGCTGTAAAGCCGTGGGGCTGTCGACTAGTGTGATGGATGGTTGTTAGTGTGTGCTGTGTGCGCAGCCTACCTGAGTATTGTTGCTGACCGTGTCCATCCCTTTATGACCACAGTGTACCCATCTTCTGATGGCTACTTCCAGCAGGATAACGCACCATGTCACAAAGCTCACATCATCTCAAACATGACGATGAGTTCACTGTACTCCAATGGCCTACACAGTCACCAAATCTCAGTCCAATAGAGAAACTTTGGAATGTGATGGAACGGGAGATTCTCATCATGGATGTGCAGCCAACAAATTGGGACAAAGTGCAAAAGAAACACATTATAACGCCATTAAAGAGCCAAATAATAGAAAATAAAGTTATAAACAAGATAGGTATAAAATACAAGAATGAAAGTAGCGGTGTCCTGTAAGAAATGAATAAATATTTAATTTAACAAAAGGCAGCAGCAAACAGAGAAGTCTTCGGTATGGATTTAAAAGAAGTGAGAGTTGGTGCAGAGCTGCAGTTTTCAGGGAGTTCGTTCCAGATATGTGGAGCATAAAAACTAAATGCTGCTTCTTCTTGTTTATTCTTGACTCTGGGGGCACGAAGCAGACCTGTCCCCGAAGACCTGAGAGGTCTGGATGGTTCGTACTGCGGCAGAAGGTCAGACACGTATTGACCCCTAAACCATTCAGTGCTTTATAAACCAACAGCAGGACTCTGAAGTCGATTCTCTGACAGACAGGAAGTCAGTGTAAAGACCTCTGAGTTTATGTGAGGACTTGAGCAGCGGCGTTCTGAGCGCTGGCTTCTGTGCAGTATGAACTGATACATGATATGACAGATCAAACTTTATCTATATCGCACAAGTCATGAATAAAATGCATCTCCAAGCGCTGAGCATGAAAGAGTTAAAACATGAGAAGAAATGATTAAAAATAAATAAAATATTTACATGCAGGAAGAAGGACCTGCAATCCACATTACAACCACAGGAGGGTGACAAAGATCTTTGCTATGTGGTTGAATAGTCGCTTCAATTCTAATCTACTCCTGAAGACATGGGTGGATTTTTGAAAGTACTGATGGGCCCCCGGGGACCCAAAGTGTCAGGGGGACCCCCTAGCCTTCACCTGCAAACTGTCTATCAAATGAACTCATATTGACCAGGAAGAGACTCTACATGACTACAGAGACATGAAAATGAACTGCAAAGAGGCACATTTTAAAAAAAAAAAATAAAAAAATAAAAGCTCTACGTCGGTACAACACCGCCAATTGACTCTTCTTCCTTCAACAGCAAACACACGTGGTTACCTATAGGAAAAAAGAACAGGGTTCGGCTTTACAATCATACAGGAAGTGAACACCGGCCTCCAAGGTGTCTGTGGTTGTTGGACCCATCCACCACCCCTCCTGCCTGCCCTACATGGACTTCAGCCACCTTAACTTTCATTGTACTGCGGCGTTTCCCCCTGATGCCACTGGGCACCACTAAACAATAACAGTGACTGGCAGTGTATCATGCCGACGTGAAAGGATGGCTTTTTTATTAGCGTCTGACCCATGAAGTCACTGACCAAGTGTAAGATTTTGACGACTTCAGAGTGAAGTCACAATGCACAAATTAAATGAGCTGATGGATCATATTTAACTGTAGTGACTGATTGACTTTGGGGTGAACTGTCCCTTTAAATAGGCACACTGAAGAAGAAGTAACGAACATATGCTTGCTCTATACAAATGCAACAAAAAGGCCCAGTACTATAATTAACATGTTGCTTAATTCAAATGACATGTTCGTAAAAATGAACATTGTTGCTCACGTGTTGTCACCAAAAGACAAAACAGGAAGCTGGAGTTATAATTGTAACACATGAGCTGTCAGACAGATTCTGCTCGAACCTTGCAAAACACTCAAGACAACATTAATCAGTGACAGATTTTGCTCAGTTGATTTGCGGTTTGTCTTGTAGCCTCACTATTTCCGTGGTGTGTAGCACGCTGCCAGTCAGATCCATTTTCACACACTGCTGTAAGTGTGTCAGGA